GTCGTCGCCGTCCTCCCTCCCCCCGCGTCGTCGTCGTCGTCGTCGCCTACGTCGTCCTCTGTCTTTTGTCGTGTTCGTCGTCGTCGTCCTCTTTGGCGTCGTGGTCGTTTCCGTCGTCGTTGTCGCCGTGGTCGTCCTTCCTCCTCCTCCCACGTCGTCGTCGTCGTCCGTCGTCGGCGTCTCGTCGTCGCCCCTCCTATTTCGTCGCCGTCGTCGTCGTCGTCGTCGTTGTCGCCGTCGTCTTCCCTCCTCCCTCGTCGTTGTCGTCGTCGGCGTCGTCGTCCTTCCTCCTTCGTCGTCGTTCGCGTCGTCGCCGTCCCCCCTCGTCCCTCGCCGTTGTCGTCGTTGTCGTCGTTGTCGTCGTTGTCGCCGTCGTCGTCCTTCCTCCTCCCTCGCCGTCGCCTTCGTTGGCGTCGTCGCCGTCGTCTTCGTCGTCGTCGGCGTCGGCGTCGTTGTCGTCGTCGAAGTCGTCGGAGACGTCGTCGGTGTCGTCCTAGTCGTTGTCGTCGGTGTCGTCGTAGTCGGTCTTAACAAGTTTTGCAAACCAAGTTGCGGTGGGCGGGTGGAATGTTTGCGCGAGCAGTTGAGATGGCGACTTCAAGTTCAGCAGAGTGGTCTCCTACCTTAAGCTCCACCGCCATAGACGGCCCCCTCCTGCAAGGGTGGAACTTCGCCTTGCACCCAACGTCGGGCCACTTCTCGGAGCCCTCGCCGAAGACCCTCCTCATCTTGCCCACCCACTCTTTCATGAGCTCGTCTTCGGCGAAGCTCTCCTGCATCGTGACCGGCTGATTCCAGCCCATTCTGTGCCAAAATTTCGACCGGCCCCCCCATCGAGATGGGGCCCGGCCCTTTCCACCGCAGCTTGTTCGGGAAGGCCGGTCCGCACGAGCAGGCGCGGCCGTTCCTTCCGCCCCACCCCGCGCTCATCCTGCGCGCGCCGACGTCCGCGAAGTCGAGCACATTGAGGCACTTTGTTTGCGTATCCCCCATGCTCCTTGCCGTCTTGTAGTCGCCCAGTTCGCGCAGCGCCTTCTCCTCCCCCCCAGCTCCTGCTCGGCTGCCGTCAGCGCATCCTCGCACGTTGCGTCCGTGGCCATGCACCTGTTCAGCAGGAGGTCGCACTCTTCTGCACATCCCAATGCATCCGCCATGTATTCCCCTGCTTTGCTGAAGGTTGCGAAGATGCCCCCGTTCTCCTCGATGCCCTCCAACACTGGTTTTGACATCTCCTTGGGCCTCTCGATGACCTGATTGTTCCTCTGGTTGCGCGACTTCTCTCTGAGTCCTTCCTCAGCCTCGATGATCGCCTTCGCTGCCTGGATCTGCCCCGAGGATTGAGCTGCCCACGTAATGCCTTGAGCTGTCCTCTTCTGCTCTCGGCACACTTGCTGGTTCCTCCGCGATGCACCGGCCCCCTCCACATCGCCCCCCCCCCCCCTCGCCACTCCGCTCGACCCACTCCTCCTGCCCGAGCGCCAGCGCGCAGTCGACGCGCGCCCTCTCCCATTGACTGCCGTTTCCTCATTGGTATTTGTCATGTCCCGGTTCGTCCTTGGCGCGCCCCCCGCGGCTCTCGACAATCTTGCAGCGCCCGGCCCCGCGCCGCACCAGCCGCGCGGCCAAAATACGTCGCTGCCGGCGAAGGCCGCGAGCGGCCTCCGGCGCCCTGCACTCCGAGATATCCCCGCTGGCGCCAGAGCGCACCTGGACCGTCGCTGAGCCAGGTGGGCCGCGGGGGCCGAAGATGACCGATGGAGGCAGATGGGCCGTGCCCAGCGGCCCCGAGGGCATCGCATAGCACCCCGGCGCCAGGCCCCACTCGGCCCCCCCCCCCCACACTGTCCGCGACTCATCGCTATACTGTGCATACGATGACTGCAAAGCATGCAAAACCTTGCAGACACGTCGCATCGCCGCAACTGTAAAGGAACTGGGGGAGGTAGAGAAAGAATTGTCGCGTCGTCATAACTGGAGACATCGGCCACTGATTTGGGCGGGAGGTCTGGTCGCCGCCCGGGGGGCCTCTTCCCAGAGCGCTTCTCTGCAACGCCGCCCCCCTGCCAGCTCGAAACTCCAAGGCCAATGAGTACATCTTACCCTCTGGGGAAAAGAGCCCGAGCTTGGCGAGGCGCTCAACGTCCACGCTGAGATGTCGCATCGCTTGTCCGCTGCCGGGCGCCCTTGCTAGGCCCACCTGCCCCGGGGCGGCCCCTCGAGGGGCGGCGCCCTGAGAGCTCGGAGCTGACGCCGTCGGGGAGGGGGGCAGCGAAAGCGCTCGTCCGCGTCAGCCGCGGCCCGGCACTCTGCCCAAGGGTTTTGCACCCCGAGATATCCTCGCCAACGCAGGCACCCCCTCCTCTCCCAGCGGCGCCGACGCTGCAGTTTTCGCCCCACCCACCACTCCAGCTCCGTCTTGGGGGCCGCCGACTGAGACTTCTCACCACCCACGAAGACAATCAGAACCCCCGCGACCCCCTTCAGGTCGTCGCCCGAGAGCTTGTCCAGCTTCGCCATGGTCTCCTCGTTCGTGTCCTTCGGGGGCGCTGCTCTAAAGTTGGGGGTCTCGTTGATGCCGATCTGAATGTTGCCCGATCCCTCCTCCCAGGGCTGCAGCTCGTCCTCGTTCGGGTTCCTGTTATTCTTGTTGCGGGCCTCGCTGCTCTCGCTGACCTTGCACATCTCGATCGCCCCCGCGACCGTGGCTTGACTGTAGACGTTGTTGTCGTCCACCAGCATCAGGAAGTCGTTCGGCAACTTTCAGCGCGCCCATCGCCCAGTCCACCGATGCTGCCACTGATGTGGCATCGTCTTTCTGCCATTCCGCCACTATCTCTTGGATGCCCTCCATGAGCGCCAGCCCCGCGTGGATGCCTGGTGGTCCGAGCAGGCGCCCCTTGCCTCTCTCCTTGACTAGGTCCCCGCAGCGGCGGCCCGCTGCCATCGACTTCCGAAACGCCCAAGCGCTGCCTGGCACGAGGTAGAAGTCAGCGGCCACGTGGTTCATCTCTCTCAGCTCTGCCGCTGAGCGGAGGGGCAGACGTTGAAGCCCGTCGATGCATCCTCTGAGGTCGGGCTCTTCGTTGTCCTCCGCTGCATGGGGCAGCCGGCGGGGGGGGGGCGCGCCCCCCCCCCCCCTGGCCGCAACCTCCCGCCGCCGCGGCCGCGGCCGCGGACAGACCCCCTGCAGCCTCGGCGCTGGCCGCGCTCATTGCCCATTGGTCCACGCCCTCTCCCTCGCCGCCCTCGCGGCGCCCCGGCCCCCCCCATCTCTGCGCCCCCCCCTGGTTCGGGGGGGGCGGGGGGGGGGGGGGCAGCCGCATGGAAAGCATCGCCATCTTTGGGAGGGGGGGGGGGGCATCTGAACCCCCCCCCCGAGATTGTGCCTGAAAGCTACATCGGGAGCAGCCGAGGGAAAAAGGCCCCTCCACTTGGTAACTCCAACGACCTCTGTTCTTTTTATAGCATATATCATGACTCTCTGTGGCCCTCATGGCACGGTCGATCGCAAATTCTTTCGCCGCGAGTGAGCTCAAGCACCACGGGCATTGATTGGTTACCACTAGGCTGGAGACCAGCGGTTGGTAGTTGCGCACCACTGCTCTGCGCACTGCCAGCGCTGCTGCCGAATTGAATTGCGCCCCGCCCACCTGTCCCTCAGCCCCCGCCCCCCAGTCACACCCACACGGTGTAAAGAAGCCGCCTTCGCCTGGCACATCTGGCAACGTAGAGTTCCATGTCCGCCCGGCATGTCGAAGCATTCTGGAGCCCGTCCCGACCCACGCTGCCCTGCCCCCCGCACCCGCCTGGAGCATGGAGATGTCTGAATGCCTCTGCGGGCGCCAGATTGCCACGCACTCGCTAGCCTCCGCCAGCGCTTGAAAGTCCTGAACCACCTGCTTTGCCGAAGGTGCAGATGCCACGCATACTCTCCCATTCTCAAATCTCCTGGCTCCGCAGAGGCGGCCCGGCTTCGACGTTCCGAATATTGCTGCCAGCACACTGCCAAAACCCTCTAGATGCGTCGCCACCATCGTAGCCTGCGGATCCTCAGCGCAGTAGCGCAACGCGGTATCCTCCACCATTTGAGGACCTCCTTGTTGGAATAGCATCTGGTCGATCCATCCTCTCGAGTCCAGCTCATCCTGCCCCCTGCCATGTTTCTCAATAGTATACCCATAGCGCGGTCAAGCGCTCCGAAGCGGCGTTCCTCGAGTACGGATACCAACAGCCCACATAGGTCCGCCCCCGATACACATGCCTGAAACATCTCTTTTGCTAGCTTGTCCGTGCTATCTGAAGACCAGAAACAACAGCATTGTTTGCAGGTTATCTGCATGCATCGCATATCCCCGATTTCTCCTGCATTGCATAGGTCCCCTGGCAGGTGGGGGCCCAGTTTCCCGCATCTCCCTCATCGGCGTGCCTTTGAACTGTCTATCCCTTTGAAGCTGCCGCGCGATCCCGTCGCGCCCTGTGCCTCGTCGAGGAACCAGATGGTTCGTCTGGGCCGGATTGAGGCCCCATCCTCACTCGCCAGCTTGAGCCCCAGGCGATCCGCGGTTGCGTTGATCTACTCCGCGATTCTGCTCGCTTGAGACAAAGGCCCCCCATCTCTCCCAGTTGGTGCTTTCCGACGAGCCGAGATATCCTCGCCCCCGCCGAAAGCTGACTGGCGCTCAGAGATTTCGTCGCTAACTCCAGTCTGATCCGTCTGGGCGGGTGGGCCGGCCCATCGGAACCACTGCGCGGATCTCGGCGACGTCGTCCATGAACGCGTTGGGCGAGAGATCGCGCTCCTTCTCAGGCACGGGGCCCATCGCATCGCGCGCCGTCTGCATCTCGCCCTTCCTCCTTTCTTCCGGGAGCCATTGTCCCACGCAGCGCCTGTAAGTATCATTGGCTTGCCCAGGGCACAGGGTGAAACTGATCTGCGCCCCCTGCGTCGTCAGCGCGCGGGCCCAGTCGTCGGCGCATTCCATGATCATCGCTCACCGACGCGCAGTTGACCGCCTCGATAGCACCCCCCTCCTTCGACGTCGCGAAGACCGAAGCCAGCAGGAGGTTGCGTTTCGTGCTCGCAATGGCGTTGGCGCAGTCGCAGCTGCCTGATATGGCGCTCACTCCTGCATGTCTCGCTCTCCATCGCGCAGCTTGAACACAGGCACTCGCGCCCTCCCTCGACCCGTTCCGAAGCCCGCCGCGCGCCCAACATTGGCGCGCCGGTGCTTCTCCCACGCGATGCATACGCCTGCGAAAAGCCATTCCCACTGAGCAATACGCGCGCGACCCCCCCACCTCCAATGCCTCATTTGCCGTTGCCTTTCTCTGCTGAGAAAGGGATCGGCCCGCGCCAATCCAATGGCGTAGCTTGGGACTGGCGACGCCTGATAAGGATGCCCCCCAGCTTGTTCCTGCACTCCAGATTCTCTTCGGCCACCACCGACGCTTGTCTCTCGTTCGCCCGCGACGCCTCTCCATCATCACCTCTCTCTGCCCGACCCAGTGCGTCGCCTGCCCGTCATTCTGTAGCATCGCCCTGCCCATTCCGTACTTGTGTAGCAAGCAGTACTTGGCCAGATCCCACTCGCCCTCGCGAAGCTCCGCAGCTCGCGCCCTCTGCCCCACCCAGCTTCTTGCTCAGCTGCTCAGCGTCCTTCCGATTGGCCGCGGGATCCAATATCACCCATGTACGTTCCACTGGGACGCCCCACGGGGGGAACGCCCTCCTCCTTGCCGCTTTCTTGCGATACTGTAGCATGCCCCTTTCGTCCCTCTCCACCTGCGCTCTCGGACCCCCGCCCAGCGGTAGCGGCATCTTCTCGGCAACCATCTCGTCGCGTTCCTGATCGCACTCATCCGGGCCCAGAGGTTCCGCTGCCAGGCCCCATTCACGGGCGCGCTTCCCCAACTCGCTCAGCCATTCCTCTGGCAAATAAATTCATCTTCTTTGGCCCTCCCCCATTCCTCTGGCATTCAATACGCAGTCTACGCACGTCGCTAAAGTCGTTTTTTTTCACGCGCCCTCCAGATCTCCGCGGCCAGACATTTTACTCGCCGTTCTGCAGTTCGGCCCCATGTTTCCTAAGCACGTTCCGTATCTGCGCCAGCTCCTCTTTGACTTCCTCCAGCCTCTCTTTCGCCTGTGATTCTGTCACGCCCACTCATAATGTCATCCGTTCTGCCGGCGGGGGTCGCCGCAATAGCTGAAAGGCTGCCATTCCCCGGTCCTCCTGCTTCTTCTTGGCCGGGGAGATTTCTTTCATCGGCTTCCTTCCTGCGTCGCCCCATCTCTTCCACATCTGGTCTGCTGTAGGTCGGTGGTGCACTCAGAGATATCCCCGCTAGTGCTTCTCCTGGAAGCGATGCAGGACCTGCCTGGATCGCACTCTACCCCCGCTAGTACTCTTTCTGGCTGCTGGACTGCCGTTGACTTCAGGCCACGGCCAAAAGCCCCCAAGAGTGATGCTCTCAGTTTCCCTCAGAAACTCCTTGAACACATTGCGGCCGGCATCTTTGTCTGCCCTCCGATGTGCGCTTACTCAAGAAATCAAATTGACGCCCCAAGCCAATGTCAAGGCCCCGAGGGATGCGGTCTCGTTGTCCTATCGCTGTGATGTGTTGTAGTTGTTTGGCCACTCCTCTCAATGCTGCGCACCTTCGCCCGCGTGGTAGAGCCCCTGTCGGCACCGCAACGTAGTCGATCTTGCTCGCCCGCATCTCGTCGTCTTTCACGCAGTAGTAAGTTGGTCCACAGTCCACAAGCATCAAAGGTCGTGACTACTGACAAAAGTTTGCGGACACACAAATTCCTGATGGCTGCTCCGTTGCCGCTGTCCATTTGTTGTTGCCGCTGGCCCCAGCGATGCGGCATGCTTGCCCGAGAAATGCCTGTTTTCACCCAGGTCCCTGTTTCCGTCCTGCGCATTCCAAATCGGCCGTTGATGTCCACACACACACGCACACAATGATAGTAGATCTCACACCCGTCTCGTCGCACTTCTCCTCCACCCATCTCATGATTTTGTTCGGAATCATCCCTCTGGTGGCAGATACGTCGCAAATTCTGCGACGTCGCACGCCCACGCAAGCAGTCTCACCCCTGCTGCTTTCCCTTGTGGTTCAGCCAGTGGGGTGTACTGCGTGTGGAGCGCTTTCTCCTGCATCATATCGTGGGACACCATGGACGTCGTCCGCATGCTTTAGTAACAAATGTCCCTTTCTTTGCCCCAAACTGCAGTGCCACATGGTATCTACGATGTGTTGTTTTCATCGATTCTGGCCCTGCCCATTGATGCGTCCGTGTCAGCACAATCACACCCCATTCCCGATGTGCACTGCTAATCTCTTCCAGTCTGTCCGTGGTATTCGCCGCCAGCAATGTGTAGAATACCAGTTTCAGCAATGCACATACCGAGAACAATGCCACCGCCATCCGCCCTTCATGCCCCCCCGCTCCCTCTGGCCCGTGAAAATGTGGGGCGTTAGTCGTGTGAGTAAATTTCAGTATAACCCTCCCTCCGTCGGGGCTCCAAACGCGTGAGCCTCCAACCCCGACAAGGAGGAGGAGGAAGAGGAGGAGGAGGAGGAAGAGAAGGAGGGGGAGGACGAGTTGTTATTCCCAGCCGAGGGCGAAGGGGGGGGGGCCACGACATGAAAGACCTCCCAAGGGTAGTTGGCGCCTCCCGGCCCTGGGACAGCTCATCGTCGCCCTCCTCATGCACACGCCACAAGGGGGAGGGGGCGAGATACGTATGGGGGGAAACGGAGAAACGGTTCCTCCTCCGCCTCCTCCACACTCCAGATAGAGATGAGCAAACAAAAAGTTCTGCCATACTCAAACAAAAGATGAGAGGGTGATCTAAGATTGGATAAGGCGTTTCCTCGAAAATGACATGCCTCAACAACTCTAGAAGGCATGGCTCTTTCTCGCCCTGTCGGGGAAGTGGAGCGGAAGGGAGAGCGGCAGGTCGGTAGGAGGGGGAGGGATCTAATTGACGGTGGGAGAGTGGTAGGCAGGATGGAGAAGAGTATGCGGGTGGATAGGCCGGCAGGAGGGCTGGTAGGTACGTAGGAAGGCACGTAGCTGGTAAATGAATGGATTCGGACTATCCGAATCCGTATCCGGATCCGGATCAGGATCCGTGACCGGATGCGTGCGTTGATAAGAGGAATGAGCTCAGACCTATGCACTCAGGGGCGGGGGATGGGATCACGAAGAGGAAGCATCCCGATCCCGATCCGCATCCGGATCTGGTTCCAGCAGACCTGGTGGTCGCAATGTATAGGAGAGGAGTGGTAGGCAGGTGAATGGGCAGGTGAAGAAGACTCCTCCTCCTCCTCCTCCTCCTCCTCCTCCTCCTCCTCCTGCTCCTCCTCCTCCTCCTCCTCCTGCTCCTCCTCCTCCTCCTCCTCGCACCCTCCCTCCCTCCCCCCCTTCCTCCCTCCCTCCTCCTCCTCCTCATGCTCTCCTCCTCGTCATCCTCCTCCTCCCTCCCTCTTCCCTGCCCAGCAGTCCGGCTACGCCCGATGCTGTCTGTCAGATTCCCGCGCGCGCAGCCGATGGGGGCCACGCCACTGCTCGAGGCCGCCCCTCGGCAGCCGAGCCATCGCATGCAGCAACAAACAGCACGCGCGCCCGCGCGAGCGCGCGCGAGCTCCGCGACTGTCTTCACCAGCCTCGAACTTATCCCGATCCCTAAGATTGACACGCCAGAAGGCGATGACAATCTTGGGGATGCGTCCTGAAAAACTAGGGGAATCCCTAAGATTGGCATCGTGATGAGGCGATGCCCAGCTTAGGGATAGGGATATGTTCCAGGCTGGTCATGTCTGGGCACAGTGCAGACCCAAAATGCGGGCCTCGCAAATTCAAACAACAACCGCCAGCCTTGAACATTGGAGCGCGTAGAAGGTTCGCACCTCCATCCGACACGGCAAGCGATTACTTATGGACTGGCTGGCTCTCAGAATCTCCTGATGGAACATCCTCAGAAGCACTTCCTGTGCACGATGGTGGGGCCGGACTCATCATACTCGCCCTTGGAAATCCACATCTGCTGAAAGGTGCTCAGAGAGGATAGGATGGACCCACCGATCCACACTGAGTACTTGCGCTCGGGCGGAGCCACGACCTTGATCTTCATCGTGGAAGGCGCCAATGCCGTCAACTCCTTTGTGGGAATAGGGAAACTGTACACCACCACCAGCCTTGGCCAGGCCCATCCAGCGCACTAGGCTGGTGCACAAGCCCTCCCTGAGACCAGACGGTCTATGCACCACTCCATGCGCCAAACTGGGCCTAACCAGCCTTGGTGGTACAGGAATGATGGCCTCCGACCTTTGTCATCCGCTCGCCGATGCCTGGAAACATGGTGGTGCCACCGGACAGCACTACATTAGCGTACAAGTCCTTGCGAATGTCAACATCACACTTCATGATCGACTGGAGACATTGATTCACCCAGCGGGAAACAACTGTGACGCGGGAAACAGGGGGTAAAAGGTAACGCCCGCAGCCGAGAAGAACGACAACGACGAAGATGACACGGAAACACCACAAGCGGCAAGAATGATGAGGGGGAGGAGGGAGTTCCAACAGCTCCACTCGCTCAACGCGCCCCGAGTGCACTAGCGGGCCGTGATCCGAACAAGCCGAAACGACTGTCAGCAAGCGCTGCATTACAACACATTGAACATGTAGTACCTTTCCATGCCTTCAATTTCACCCTGCAACTCCTCCTCCCTGGTGCTGTCGCCCAGTCACGTTGCAGCCACATGGGGTACGATCAGAGATAGTGAGAAATTGATACTTACACAACGATATATGAAGATAACTGCCGGTGTGTGCTCCTAATACTGCATTCGTTCACGCTCGAAGTACATGCGCCCGATAAGGTGGATTAGCTGTGGATATACGCGCGTGACCACCGCCCACGATCGATCAAACATCACACCCACCAACACACCCTAAACTTGTTCGCACACTCAAGCGGCCAAGAGTGTAATTAACCATCGAAATCTGCTGGCCATGAGCCACGGACACTCCCCGTGCAAACCCATGAACCGGGCGGGCGAGTGATGATAATGACGAAGGCGTCTGCGAAGACGACAATGATGGTGGAGGCTATGATTGGGAGAGCGACGACAAAGACGACGACGATGACGACGATGACGACGGCAGTGGTGATGACCACGACGCTGGTTACGGTGATGAACATGATGGTGATAATGATGCCGACGCCACTGCTTTCGCTGGCGATGGGCATAAAGACGATGCGAATGACGGCGGTGGGGGACTGCGAGCAGGGACGATGACAGACGAGCAAACACATGATTCCGACTGTGTAGGAAAATCTAAAACATTAAATGCTTGGAATGTTGGCCCGCGTTGACCCCGAACAATGTGTTTCTAACAGCAGATATTGCGAAACATGTGCGAAACAAACTATGTAGCGCATCATATACCATGATATATAGTTACACCGATGTGTGTATATATAGAGAGACACACACGTGTGCATGTGATGTATCTATAAACAACTATAGAGATGTAGATGTGGTGCAAACTACGTTGTGGAATATGCGTGGTGCAACTTTATGTCGTGCAACCTACGCGTTGCAATATATGCTGTGCAGCATGTGTGATGCGAACGATGTTGTGCAATCGCTGTGGAACTAAACATGGGGCGCAATCTCCTTGTGATAGATCGGTACATCTAAAACATGTGTATAGATTGTGCTATCTACGCTGTGCAATGTACATTGTGTCCTGTATAGATATAGGTAGTTCGATAATCCTTCGTGGGCGTACATGTGCCCGCCATTGGAATTGGTGTGGGCCCTGCAAAAAGAGGAGGGGGAGAACAAGGGAGAGTGGGAGGAAGGGAAAGGGAGGGACGAAGGAAGAGGGAAAACGCCAGGAGAGAAGGAGCGAAGAGGGGGGAGGTTGATTAGAGGCAGAGAGAGCGATAAAGAAAGAAAAAGTAGAGAAAGAGAGAGAGAGAGAGAAAGAGGGGAGAGAGAGAGAGAGAGAACAAAAAAAGAGGGAGGGAGGAGGCAGGAGAGGGGAGGGAGAAGGGAGGAGGGAGAGGAGGGAGAGGGGACAGGGCAGAGAGGCAGAAGGATGAGGGAAGAAAGGAGGGAGAGAGAAGGGAGGGAGGAGGGAGGAGGGAGGAGGGAGAGGGAGGAGGAGCAGGAAGGTAAGAGCGTGAACGTTCGAAGAAGTCCTAGGTGAAAGCGACGTGCCTGAAGGAAGTCTCGGGCGGGAGCCCACGACGGGCGGGCGATCCCCTCATGGGCGGGTCTGGCGGGTGGGACATTCAAGCAAGCGGGATGCCTGAGTATGGCCATAGCGCGATTCCTAAGTAAATTGTGACGGCGTCCTTGGCGCAGCGTGTTTCCTGAGCGTCGACAGCGCGATTTCTGAATAAATTGCATTGAAGTCACAGGCGAGAGCTCAATTCCTTAATAAAATCTGAGGGGGTTCTCTGGCGGGAGCGGGGGTCTTGATTGAATTGCGAGGAAGTCTTGATTGAATTGCGAGGAAGTCTCAAGCGGGAGCGCCGCTCCTGAGTAAATTGTGAGGAAGTCTCAGATGGGAGCAGGGGTCCTGACTAAATTGCGAGGGAATCACAAGCGGGGGGAGCAACTATCCTGAGTAAACTGTGAGGAAGTCTCAAGCTGGAGCGGGGGCCCTGAGTAAATTTGGAAGAAATCTCAAGCGGGAGCCGTTGTTGTTGTAATCCGGGGGGCCAGGGGCACAGTTTGAGCATCAAGACTTTCCGGGTCAAAAGACAGGGTGCGAGCGTCGAAGGGCACACTTTGATTGAGAAAGAATAGTGTGCACCGGTGGGGGGATCAACAATAAATATTCTTCAGAACTGAGAGCTCAACAACAACAACAATCACAACAACCGTAACAACAGCAACAATATTAACAACAACAAGCACAACAACAACAACAACAACAACAACAACAACAACAACAAAAGCAACAACGCAGCAAGCAGAATCCTCATCACGGATTCTCACTTCAGCCACGCACCCAGGGACAATGAATGACCGTTCGGCCCCCTCACTCTGACTAACAATAAACGGTCGCATCAGTAGCACTAGTATTTCCAGTATGGCCGTAAGAACAGTTGTAGCCTCAAGAGTATGGGTGGCCGTTGTTCTTGGTCCAGAGGCTCGTTAGAGGCTCTTCAGCAGCTCTTCAGAGGAAGAGGCCGTACAGAGGCTCTTCAGGAGCTCTTCAGAACCTCTTCAGAAGCTCTTCAGAAGCTATCGAAGGCTCTGCGAAGACCCTTCAAAAGTCTTTCAGAGGCCACTCAGAAGCTCCTCAGATGCCTTGAAGGGGCCCTCAGAAGCCCCTCAAGTCAGAGTCCTGCAGAAGCCAACCAGAGGCCCGTCACGGGCCCTTGAGAAGCTCTTCAGAACCTCTTCAGAGGCCTTTGAGAAGTTCTTCAGAAGCTCCTTCTCTTTTTCCTCCTCCTCCTCCTCCTCCTCCTCCTCCTCCTCATCGTGGCTCTTAAAGGCTCTGGAGAGACCCGTGAGGGGGCTCCTCGGAAGCTCATCAGAGGCTTTCACAGGCTTTCTGCGGCAACTCCCAAGGTTTTTTTTCAGAAGCTCTCACAAGCTCTTCGTAGGCTCTTCGGAGGCTCTCAGGAGGCTCAGCTGTTCAAAAACTCTTCGCAAAGGTCCTTCAGACGCTCCTCTGTAACCCGTAAGAAGCCTTCAATGGCCTCTCAGAAGCTTTCAAAGGCTCTGAGACGCCGTTCAGATGCCTCTCAAAGGCGGCCTTCACTTTTCGTGCGAATTTCAAGGAAAGCAAAGGGTTTTACCAGGGGTCGAACCGCTCAACCGGGGAACGAACCTCCGCTTTCGAAATGGTCGCCGGGGAACGAACCATTCAACCAGGGAACTAACTCTTTCACCGGAGAGTGACTTCTTTCGGAGGGGATGGGTCCCAAGAGGGTTCCCGGGGGTGGGGTCCCCGGGGGCGGTGGGGGTGGCGACGGCGGCAACATAGCCGCCAGACCGCCACACAGGCACAGATCCTGAGAAAAGACATAAGAACCCCGAAGTGCAAGCACTGCTTGGTAAAGAAAGGTCATGCTATGGTTTGTTCGGGCATGTCCTCCTACAGGCGGGTTTTGGACGAGAAAGTAAGAATAGTTTAAAATATTCAAAAGATAATCAAAAAATCATCGAAGAATCGTCCCCATGTTATTTTTGTTGACGATGTTTGAATATTCCTCCTGTAGAGGGACAGGTCCGACTTAATCCTAAGTGCAAGCACTCCTCAGTAGGGGGGGGTCTGGCTACGGACCTCTGCTTACTGCGGCTGTTTGGAGCAGTGCGGCCGATGGGGGAGGGACTCCACCTGCTCGAAACGGGCGCCAAAAAACAGCCAAGGTCCACTCCATGAGGGGTGGGGCGGGGGGAGGGGGGGCGGGCGAGGACCCGCGCCGATGGGCAAAGAATGAATCAGAAAACGATCACACGCTGGCGGTTGCGCGGTGGTGGTTGGACGACCTCGACGCGCGCGCGCGCGCATGTGGCCCGCCTGGTGTCGCTGGACAAGCTGCTAAGCAAAACAGGCCGCAACGGCGCCTTTTATGGAATCCGCGCGGGCGCGCGCACGGGCCTTTCAGGCAGTCGACGACTCTGGACACAGAGCGTCTGCATTAGAGCTTCTTGCGAATGCGGACATCATCCGCAGACGAATGGCGTTGACATGCGCGCGCGTGTGGCCTGCAATGGATTAATTCACATTACCATATTCTAAGTCGCCGCAAGAACAAGCCGGATGTCGCGCCTGGTACCACATGATAGAGACGAGGTGGGGGATCGAAAAGAGCCATCGCTGAGACGGCATGTAGTTGAAATCGAATATGAAGGATCGGCCTGGCGAAACGCACATACGCGGACGGGTGCCCTCCAAACCTGGCCACGGCATGGGGGTCGCTCCAAATATTCGTCACTCAAAACATTTCTGCCACCGTGCCTCTGGGCACGGAGTGAGCGCATCTTCGAATCATCTGCCTAATCCTCCAGACTCAATAATCTCCATTCCCGAGGAATCCTTAACGGGCCCGGACCCAAAATTGCCAAATCTCCTGGGGCTTGTCGCGTGCCCCCTGGGTTCGGGGAACGGTTGTCTCGTAAATTCGTCGGGCCCGAAGGGGCCCCAAGACGGGCCAAGGGGGCCCAATGAAGCCCCCAAGACGGTCCAAGAGGGCCCCGCATCGCCGAACGATCGCTCAAAGACGCTCATGATGGCCCCCAGTCGACTCAACAGGTTTCCATGACGCCCAAAGAGGCCCCCAAAAAGCCTCCAAAGAGGGCACGAAGAAGCCAACGTCATTGATTCCCCTTCAGTTTTTGGAGGAGTTGGCGTCCTCGCCTTTCGGCTTCCCGACGCTCCCAGACGGCCCTAGAAGCTCCCCAAGACCGCCCAAACACGGTCCAAGAGGCCTCCAAGAGGCCTACAAAACGGCCCAACACGGCCCCAAAAGGGAACCAAAAGAAGGAGCACGAAACAAAAATCCGAGCCTTCCGCCCCAAGAAGCCCCCACGAGGCCCCAAGAGGCGCCAGGAAGCCCCACGAGGCCCCCAAGAGGCCCCCGAGACGCCCCAAGAGGCCCCCAAGAGGCCCAAAAGAGGCGGGAAAGACGGGGCCCGCCGCCCCCCGACCAAGCCCAGGCCCCGCATCACCACCGCATCCCCAGGGCTTCACCAAGGCAAACCACGGATTTTACTAAAGCGAGGAAACGGTTTCACTAAAGCGGAGGAAGCGGCTTCATTTAAGCGAGGAAACAGCGTTCCTAAAGCGAGGAAGCGGTTTTAATAGAGGCGCGCCGCTCAATGTATTCCGGAAAACAACGTTTTACTAAAGCGAGAAAAAAAAATAGTAATGCGTAGGGACGGCTGGGGTAAAACTGCGCGCATAAATTTCGTTCCCCCCATAAAATCTGGCGCGGTATTCCGGGATGGAAGGCGGAGCGTAAGTTCGCCCGCGGGCCCGGGCCCCGTCGCCACCGTAGCCGACGCTCGTCGTCGCCGCCGTCGCCGTTGCCGCCGTCGTCATCGCCGTCGGCGCCAGCGCCACCTTCGTCGTCGCCGTCGCCGTCGTCGTCGCCGCGACACTCGCGCATTCACCTTATTACCAGCGGCGGGTCGCGCGCGACGGCGCGCTCCACTGCGCTCGCATTTCCTGTCGCCCGACGGGGGCCCAGGCGGACATCATGTTTTTTCTTGTCCACCCACAAGTCGTTTAAAGAAATAATACCTGAAGATTGCCCAGAGGAGCCCCCCCAACGCCCAGCGGGCCCTGCCAGGTCCCGCGCCCCCCGCGGAAGACGGCGACGGCGGCGCACATGCGAGCTCCCATTTGCAACGGCGCGCCCACTCATCTGGCAAGCACATAAATGAAAAGGCGCGCCGGCGAAGCCCCGCAAAGGAAAGGCGACGGTCGCGCAGGGGCGGCGCCCGTACGACGGCGGCCCTGCTGGGACCTGGGCCTATTGATTCTGCGGCGGCGCCCTTTGGGACGGCGCTCAGGAAGGCAAGCGAATCTCTGGGGACTCGGCTTCGGCGCCGCAGCCGCCATCAGCCCGGCCCTCCTCCGCCCCCGCGTCCAAGAGCTCCACGGCTTGGGGCGCAATCGCGGCGGCGGTGGCGCCCCCTGGCCCGCGCGCGCTGTCCGGCGAACGCGCGCCCCCACGCAGCTGAAGCCCGCTGGGCCCGAGGCGCCCCCGACGTGGAGGACTCGCCGGGAAAACGCAAGGGCTGCAATGGCAGGCAGCCAAGTGGCGCGGGGGAAGGCCGCGAGCCGCGCGTGCTCCACGCCCAGGCTGGGAGCGATCGACCGCGACGCGTTCGCGCGGAGCGATAGGCCGCAACGTCTTCGGGCGGGGCGATTGAAGCGTGCACGCCTTACCCCGCAGAGGAGCAACGCGGCGGGTTGTTCGATATTTTCCAGCGCGCATTCACGCGCTCGGCCACGCGCAGGCGGGCGACTTCCTGCCGCTGCTGGCGCGGCGTGCCGCGCGGCACTCCCGCCCTCAAATTCGCCCTGGAGCGGGACATTGGCACGCGACGCCCGCGCCGGGCGACCCGCGCGCCGCGCCCGCCCCACCGCGCGTGCAGATGGGCAGGGCCGTCAACACCCACCGGGAAGAACCGCTGGGCGAAGAGCGACCGGCCATCGGAGGCGGCGGCGCCCGCCCTCCAGCCGCGCCCGCCCCCAAGATTAGTGCGGGTCTGGCCGACATCGCGCGAAGCTTTGCGCGTTGCATCAAATCCGCGCCAGGGCGCGCAAACCCGACGCTGTCGCCGCAGATGGTCTCCCCATCTTGAGCGCGGGGGGTCGGCTGGCCCGCTGGTTTTTCGAATGGCACCCAAAGCTCCCAGCGGGGGCCGGTTCTGACTTCTCGCGCCTACAACTTGACCCCTGGAAATCGCCGCAACGCCCGCGCTTGCGCACGAAGCTCGCACTGGGCGCGAACCTCGGGAACGACTGCAACGCGCGCGCTGCGCTGCCCAACCCCAGCACCAAAGGCGACCGACGCGCCACCGACAGTGGCGCCACCGACCGACGCGCCCGTTCACGTAGAAGCTGTCGGCTGATCGTCGATCAGTGGTTCGGCGGTCGACTGGCCCGCAATTTCAATGACGGGGGAGCGGGGGTCGGTGCCCGCGCTGAAATAGTGGAGCGGGCCCGCGCGCAGGAGGCCGCGCAAGCTGGAGAGGGCGAGCGCGGATGGCAAGCCCGATCAGTGGGCGGCATCATGGAGGGGCAGTGCATGCGCGCACCTGTCGCACTGCAGGATGCACACGCCCATGCAAATGTGCGAACGTTTCAGCAGAATGGCCGCACACGCACGCGCATGCCGCACAGTCCGATGCCATCGGGCGGCCCGAAAATATGAACCCGCATGCCAGCACAGACCGTTGAGTCGAATCTCCGAGGGGGAGGGAAGCAGGGGAAGGTGGGGATCGGTATCGGTATCGGTAAGAGTCGGCTCGCTGCCGGTACCTGGGGACCCCAAACGGGTCACCGAGAAGATTGATGGGCGAACGGGTTCCAGCCTCTGTCGGGGGCCGGAAGGCGGGGAGGCAAGGGAGGAGGGAAGCGAGGGAAGCGACCGAGACAAGGCAGAGAGGAGGGCCCTGGGGCTCCGACAGACAAACTGCATGTGCCCAGCAAGCTGATCTGAGGCTCCCAAAAGGGGCCCGTCGCGCGCCGGGGTTCGAAAAAAACGACGCTTCGGAGCCAGAAAAAAGCTGCTGCTGGGCTTGAAGGGCTTGCTTCCAGGATGCAGGCTTGCAAGTCCATGGTCTCCAGGATCGAAAGCGGAGAAATTGAAACTGCATTCAAATCTTTTTGGTTGATACGCCGACGCGTGCATCACGAGCGCTTTAAATATAGAGCCACACCCCATGACAGGGAACAATGCTTGGAATATTCTGCCACCGTGCCGCTGGGCACGGAGTGGGCGTGTCTTCAGGTCCTTTGCCCAATCCTCTGAGCATCAATCCTCACTCCTGCGGAGTCTGTAAGGGGCCCTGGACCCAAGGTTCTCAAATCTCTCGGGGCTTGCCGCGGCTTGTCGAGGGCTTGGCGCGGATCCCCGCTTGACTTTTCACAGCCAAGAGGGCCCCACAACGGGCCAAGATGGCCCAAGACAATCCATTAGGGCCCCGAGTCGCCAAACGATCGCTCCAAGACGCTCAAGATGTCCCCCACACGGCCCAAGAGGCCTCCAAGACGCCCCAAGAAGCCTTCAAGAGGCCTACCAGGAGGGCCCAAGAGGCCAAACATCATTCATTACTCAAGGTGTTTGAAAGATTTGGACGCTCTCGCATTTTCGGCTTCCCGACACTCCAAGACTGCCCACGAGGTCCCAAGGTCGCCCCAAGACGGCCCCAGAGGCCCCCAAGGAGGCCCCAAGACGGCCCCAAGAGGGCCCCAAAACGGCCCTGGAGGCGCCAAAGACAGCCCGAGTGGGCCCAACGACGGCCCCAAGAGGGCCCCGAAACGGCCCTGGAGGCGCCAAAGACAGCCCGAGTGGGCCCAACGACGGCCCCAAGAGGGGGCCCAGATGGGGGAACCCGAACGGACGTTTCGGGCACGGGGCCCCGAGGGGCGGCCCCCACGAGGCCCCAAGAGGCCCCCAAGAGGCCCCCAAGAGGCCCCCAAGAGGCCCCCAAGAGGCCCCCAAGAGGCTCCCAAGAGACCCCCAAACTGCTCCGAAGAGGCCCCCGAGAGCGCTCCGAAGAGAACCTCAGAAGGATCCCTGAGAACCCTGAGCAAGAACCCAGGAACGGTGGCCGAACTGGCCCGAAGGCTATGAGATAGTACACGCGAGACTACGCCAGCTGGCGGAGCACGCGCAGGAGCAACGAGGACTCACGGGGGGCGGAGAAGGCAGGAGGCAGAAGCAAGCCGAGAACGAAAAGCAAAGGGCATGGCTGCATTAAAGATTGACGCCGCGGACAGGCTGGAGCCATGAAGGCTCAGCCATGTCATGCATAATGACAAGCGCGCACAAGCAACGCGGCCAAACCACGAAGGCACCCGCGCATCGTCAACGGGGGCGCGCGTCGAGGACGGGGTGCTCAAAACTGCCGAGGTCAGAGGGTCAGTCACGGACCGCCGTGCCTCAAAAGTAAAAAGAGAAGGGTGCCCCAGCGACTGTCAGTGCTGGCGCCACTGGTTGCGGTACTGCTATTGGTGGTGGTGATGCTATTGCGCCGCAACTTCCATGTATTCCAACGTGCCGCTCTGGTTCCTGTCCATCTCACTGAGCCGTCGATCAGCTCTTGCACGTCGTTCCCATAACTTCCGTGTATTCCAACGTGCCGCTCTGGTTCTGGTCCATCTCGTTGAACCCGTCGACCAACTCTTGCACGTCGTTCGCGTCAACCATATTGAAATCCGCCGACCCCTTGTGGGGCCACCAGGCTGCCAGAATCGAGCTTCAGTCGCGCAGGTACCAGTCCTGAGCTCCTCGGTCCCAGTCACAGCTCCAGTCCAGTTTCCAGTTTCCAGTCTGCAGTGTTGTAGTTCGACTGCCTGCCTCGTACTGCAAAGTGTGACTGATCCGAACGTAGGGGGGAGCCGAAAAGGAACCGTTTACCCTTCCCCGTCCGGGGTTCTGAAAATTCCCCGTGGCCCTGGTACGCACATTCCTCGCGTCCCCAGGGCTATATTCATCGTAAGCTGCACCAGCTTCGTGCTCCCGAAACCAGAATCCTTTTTGTAAGTTGCACTAACTTCTTACGCCAGATCCGTGCTCCCGATGCCAGAGTCCCTTTTAAATTAGACCAGATTCGCGCCAACGAATCCAGAATCCCTGGCACATTTTAGATTCGCGCTCGCGAGGGCAAAATCCCATTGAAAAGTAAACGATTTCGCGCATCCCCCTTTCGCGAATTTCACCAGATTCGCGCCCCCGAGCACACGATCCCCCTCAAATTACGCCAGACTCGCGCTCCCGAGGCCAAGATCCCTTGTAAAGTACCCCGAATTCGCGCCCTAGGACGGAAACAAGGTGTTCGACAACGGCTTGAACATCTCAAGGTGCTTGTTGAAAGCCAATCACCCTCGCGTGATGTTCCCAGAAGTTTTCAAAACAGCGCTGACACGTCCCAGCATAGGTCGGACATCTCCCATCATGATAGCAGTCAGTTCTGACATCTCCCATCATGATCCCATCATGAGAAGGGGGGGTAAGGGGGGGCCTGGCGGCAGAGGGCGGAGCCCTGACAGATTCAGCAGCATGTACACTACGTATTCGTACGTTGACAGGGCGCCGCTGTTCGGGTGTTGCCAGAAGCGCTCCTGGCCCAAGGCGCCCCCAGGATTTCCCAGGAGGCTCCCACGGCCTATAGAGAACCCCTCACGAGGCTCAGAGGGCTCCAGGGGCTGCAAAATGTAGCGAAAAGCTGGGCGCACCTTGGGCCAGGGGCACCTTTAGCAACCCCCGGGCTGTTGTCAGCATCGATCATCCGGAAAGTCTCTTCACTCATGCCAGTCGAAACAGAACTTTTCACATAATTTGAAGTCACCGCCTTCGCGATCTGACCGAGATAATAGCCCATAGAAGCGACTCCAACCATCATCCAGACGGTGGCAAAAAGCCGACCCACCCAGTTACCGGGAACATCATCACCAAACCCAACAGTGGTCAATGTAATGACAGACATGTAAAACGCCTGGGTCACGGAGCGCGGAGTTCCGCCGAGGTCCAGACATCCCTGCGTCTCGCCGAAAGGGAGAATCACGTCGCACGCATCAAAATCATCGCAGATGCAGTAGTCCGCAAAGCTGAAAAAGACTGTCCCGACCAAGATCATCGCCAGGAATCCCACGAGCGCTTTCACCAGGGGGGGGGGCCCGCGCATCGCCCTCGCTTTGGCGGGCGCCTCCTGCGGAGGAGCTGCCGAGCCCCCACCCGTGGCGGCGACCGACTTCGCGAGTGCCTTCGAGAGCATGCCTTTCTTGGTCTCCTCCGCCCCCTGGGCCAGCATACTGGTCAAGTAGTCCATCACGCCCACGCCGGCAATCACATTCCCCACCAGCACGTAGAACGCCACCATAAGCCGCCTGTCGTTCGAAGCGGGGCACAAGTCACCGTAGCCGACGGTCGTGATTATCTGGGCCTGCCAGTACAAGACTGCGGTCACGCCCCCGGCATCAGACGCGCCGGTGAGCCTGTCCTTGCCCACGAACAGCATCCACCCGAGGACAAACCAGGCTGCCGTGGTCAGCTTGATCAGACTCTTCAGGGGAGGTAACTGGAGCGTCTTCTCCTCCTCGGCGGCGAGCTGTGGCGTCGACGAGCAGGAGGACTCGCTGTCCGACGTGTGTGTTTGGACCAGCAGCTCCGCCGGGGCGCCCTTCGAGGACATTCGAGGGGGCGATGAGTTGTGCAGGCGCGACGGCGACTTCCCGAATTAGCTTGAGTAAGAAGGACTTGAGCCAAGAGGGGCAAAATAGCATGGAGCTTCAGGAAGAGCGGTAGGCACCAGGAGTCGAAAACAACCCTCTCGAGACGGAAGCATTGGTTCGGGGCTCAAAGAAAAAGCTGGCATGCTCTGCGGCTCGAAAACACATGTCTCGGATCCCCCCCCAAAAAATGATTGCTGGAGGAAATACATATTCATGTCTACAACCGGGAAAGACACGGCACGCCCTGGCGTTCGAAACAAAAAACTGTTCGGGCGCCAATTTGGGGCTCCAGGGGAGTGCCCGCAAGCCGATTTGAGGGGCCCGGCAGGCCCTGGTGCTCGAAAAACTGTTGGGGGGTCCAGGGGGAGACCTTGGATCCAGGGGGGTCGGGATGCCCTGGGACTCGAAACAAAATTGCCCAGGCTCCCAAAATCCGACACCATGCAGTGTGCACGTGGAGGCTTTGAAAAATGTCAGGAGCTGTCTGGTACGGTTTCTGTAAACTGATAAGAAACCTCATCGGCGGCGAGCGAGGGGTGGAAGTGAGAAGGAGAAGGTCTTCTCACAAGGTCTGGAAGCCCCCTGGCCTTCTGCTGAGAAGTTTTCTGGGCCCTCCTCGAAGACAGTAAGAAAAGTCCTCTGAAGGCGCGAGGGCTTCTGAGAAGTCCGCCGCCTTCTGAGAAGGCCTTCTCCTTCCCAACCCACCCCCCTCGCTCGCCGCCGCGAGCTGGGCGTCCCGTCGCTCGCTCGTCTTGGGCTGCCTCCAGGCGTCGCGCGCGGAGCCCCGCCCCAGGCCCCTCCGAGGCCCGGCGAGAGCCCCCGTTCCGAGGCCAGGCGAGAGCCCATTCCTCCTCGACCCTCGCTCGTCTTCCTCCGTCCTCCGTCCTCCATCCTCACATCCCCCCCCTTCGCTCGCCGCCGACCCCGCCCGAACCCGCGCTCCCCGCACGCACCGCCCCGCCCCCCCCCCCCCCCTCTGAAGGTCACGGCCCCTCGAACAAAAAAGCGGGCCCGCGCTCCTGGGGGCCGCGGCCCCTTCGCCAGCACTGGCAGCAGCGGGCCCCACGGCTTCCAAGACGGCCCGCGCAAGAGGCCAAGGACACCAAGGCGGCCCAAGATGCCTCGAAGGCGGCCCAAGAGGCCTCCACGATGGCCCCAGAACGGCCCAAGAGGCCCCCAAGAGGATCACAAGATGGCCCAAGAGGCCCCACGAGGGCCCAAGATGCACCCAATGGGCCTCCCGTGGGACCCAAGGCGGCCTTCGAAGGCCTTTTCGACGGCCCAAGACGGCAAGACGACGGCCCGAAGACACCCGCCGCACGGCCAAGAGGCCCCAAGACGGTCCAAGAGAGCCCCAAGATGGCGAAAGCAGGTCCTAAAGACGGCTCAGGAGGGCACGAAAGGACCCAAAGACTGCCTCACGGGAGGCCAAGACAGCCCCAAGACGTCCCAAACGCTTTCCATGATAACACGAAGACGGAAGGTGCCCCCTGTGGCGGCCTTCCCTTCCTCCTCCTCCCCCTCTCCTCCTCCTCCTCCTC